TAGCCCCATGATAAAAGGGGTTACCTAAATATCATATACCTTAAGTGTCGAGTGATTGCAAGAACCTACAACTGCTATTTAAATTTCAGTGTCCCATCGAATGGGTAAAACTTAATTTTCGATTACAATTTCGAAAATAAAAACACGGAGTATGAATGAGTGACAAGACTGAATAAGTGACAAAAGTGTACGTACTATTACAATAACGATTGCTCTCATAAACTTGAACCTGTTAATCTTCGATCTCTAAACCCGACTACTAAAGACTAAAGAGGTCCCCCATCTTTAGTGTGTCTCAAAGGACTGACAATTTCTACGACAGACACATACCCACTACACGTTACACGGTTCTCGGATGAAACAAATCTTTGTGTGGTTGAAAAATGTGGTTTCGGGTCTGGGTGCCATGTGTATGTGAACTTGTATGTTTATAAACACACTCATGACACATCAGGAAAATCAGTGTGGTAGTGTGGGGAAACGTAAAGAAAGAAATATTGGATAAGGGCCTCGAGTCATTCTGTGCTGAAGGGTGCAGCGTAGACTAAGACAGCCCTGTGTGCATACTCTTGGAACCAATCTCAATGCAATTACAATCCAATAAAATCTCAATAATTATGTAAAGTCATAACTATACAACACCTATCGTAGCTTTTAAAATAGCATTCAGAGTACGAAGAATAAAGCCAAACTCAATACCATTTAGTTCTTTTAATATCAATACGGATGCAATGGGCGATGGTGTTGCAATTCAAGAGTACGAAATTTCACAATACCAATGTCGATCGATCAGAATTGTATTCAAGAGCAAACCCCCTAGAAATAACGTCACAAGCTAAGTCAGTATTCGTCAAATCTACAACTTACTTTCATACAACTTCCCACCCTTACAACGAAATAGTTACACGCAAGATTACGTCAAATAGGGGCAAAACCCTTACAGTTTTAAATGCGCTTCAGCACCCCTCTATTTAGTCCATGGTTCAAAGCACACGTTAAGCACACCTCGACTGTATAGTCAAGTAGTCGACTACACTCGTCACTGGGTCACTCCTCTATTTCCCTAGGTCGGTTAGTTTAAAAATAGGACCCTTTTTCATCCCTCTGTGTTTCATATGGGGTGAATAGGTTGCTGTTGGACATAAATCAAGAGACTGCTACTGTTGACATACATACATAACATAATTATAACGTTATTTGTATAATTATCTTCGACAGGCTTTTTTAAGGGAGGAAATCAGCGAATGACTTCTCCTGCCTGGGAGGGAGTGTCACACTCTTACTGACTAAAAACCACCCCTTTCCTACTCCTGCCCTTCGAGCCGGCGCTCCAGCAACTCGTAAAGTCCTCCGCGGCTCCGTATCGGCATCAGCCCTATTGGGCCCCATGTGTGGTGGTCTGATGGCTCTTTGAAGCGCACGCGGAACGCAACGCACCAGCTCGGGATCTTCTATAGGCCTGAGCACTTAATATCTGAATATTTAGTGCAATTTCTTTTTTTTTTTGGATTGACTATATTCTGTATTTTACAAAAAACACTGGGGCAACGACGCGACGTCTGATGCAAGAAAACTACAGCTGCAGTCATATTGTTGTACACTCTGTACTACAATTAAGCCCTTAGAATTTCTAACACCAACAAGAAAGTAGGTTCGCTAGTCTTAAAATCACCTAGCTAGTGCAGTTCCTACTAGAACAGACCTCAACCAATACGGAGACGTAGAAAACAGAGCGAATGCGATGTTTTTATACAATTTTATTGTCTTTCAGGTTATTTTCTTTTTTGATCTCTTAGACTAGATTTTTGTGTTACATTGTTCTCACAAAATTGAACCAACAAAACTATGTAATTGTGAACCTGATTGAAGAGTAACCTATGGAGTTTCTTCCTCGTTCTTCTCCATGGGAATCTATGCCTTGGAATGAGCAAATAGCTTAATTTTCCATTTTTTTGTTGACGTTCTAAAGTGCCGTTCTGGTCTAATTGAAATAAATGACTTTTGATTTTTTGACAAATAATAGAATATTCCCGATTCACGCAACTCCCCCCCTTCAGTATCAGTCCAAGTGGTTCTTTAATACACATCTCCGCTTCTTTCCACTTATCTCCGCTTTAATAATCCAAAACTTACACAACTTACTACCAACTATGTAAACTACGAGATCCGTGACACATTAATATTGTGCAGTATGCAGTACATTCATTACACTGCAATTGACCGCATCCAGGCTTAAGCATCGTAATGGTCAATTTCCGTGAGTTTTCACTGACTCACTATCTGGCGACAACAGTTTTATACTGATACCACCCTTGTTACAAAGGATTAAGATCGATTTTTGGGATGTGCGTAGAAGTTGTTAAAAGGATAAATGAAGAATGTTTGTTAATTAGAATTTAACTGCATAACAAATTACTGTTAACTCTAGTTAATGCAGATAGAAGTTTACTGACAGCTGCTTTTCATCAGGAAGAAGAGGACGAAAAACCACGCCACGGCACACCCGTAGACAAGATGTTCATGTTCGTTAGTTTTTTTGTAGCACAGCGGCATCCCATTCGTTCCCACTTATTCTACTAAGCAGTTCCACGTTAATTCTGTCTACTGCAGTTATTCACCGAGGGAAGTGGAATCTATAGTTTTTTCGTCTTCTCCTCTTATAATATCTTCTGATTCACTTCGTTGCGGGAACCAAGGCAGTTTCTCATGTCCCTGGGACGCGCCGGACATCAATGTTCCGGTGTTTTCATGGTTGTATCTACTGTAGATCCTGGCTTACAGGAGTTGCAGCGGTTTTTGGGAGAGTGTGGCGGGCTTGTCCCTTAAAATAAATGTTCCACGTTAATCCATGGTAACTAATCGGCACCACCCATTTCTATCAACAAAACCAGAGCGTAGAGAACGTGTACACTTGTACCTCAAGTGCGTTGCCGGTCTTTTGGGGAGTCCAGGACTAGGGATAGCGAAAGTACTTGAGCCTCCACCACTCTCACATGGCGAAACAAAACACATGCGCAGGACCGTCTTAGACAACACTAGGGCCTTTGTGCACACTATGTCGGGGTCCTAGTGGAATGTTTCTTATCCTTTAACGTTGCCCCACACTAGGATCTAAGATACTTCTCCTGTATCGTGGGTGCATTTACAAACGCACAAGTTCACATGCACATGACACCCAGACTCGTAACAACAATTTATGGACCACACAAAGATTTTGCCGTGTGGGAATCGAATCCGCTACACGTTACGGGGCAGCCGGTGGCCGCGCAGTGTAGCGGGTGTGTCCGTCAAAGAAATTGCGGCGCTGATCGCTTACCATCAGGTGATCCGTTCCTCCCCCGTTACGAAGTTTTACTTTTATAATATTACTAGCGACCCGCGGGTGCAATATGCATGCATTACACATTAAACATTCCTCAAGAATCACACTATCTATTAAAGAAATCCGCTAAAAATCCGTAGCGTAGTTTTAAAGATCTAAGCATACATAGGGACCGACAGACGGCGAAATATTTTTTTTTTAAGGGGGAAAATCATAGGATATCTTCTCCCGCCTGGGTGAGGCAGAAGGGAGTGTCAGACTCTTACTGACTTAAATCCACCATATTCCTTCTCCTGCACTTCAAGCCGGAGCCCCGGTAACCCGTTAGGTTCTCCGACAGACGGCGGATAGCGGCTTTATTTTATACTATGTAGTGATTAGTTGGATGTAAAATGTAATAGATAATCATTGTTATAATATCTATACATATTACCATAGTAGTAATAATCCGGCAACGCACCTGTGGCTCCTCTGGTATTACGGGTGTACATGGGCGGCGCTGATCGCTTACCATCAGGTGATCCGTCTGCTTGTTTGCCTCCTATTCCATAAAAGTAATAATAATGAAACGGTTATTGTACGCGAATTTATTGTCAGAATTGCTTTATCCTTAAATTTTGATATTGTTAGTTCAAAAAATGATTGTTTTTACCTGTTGTTAAGGCAAACGTTTAAAAGTATGTGTTTATAACTTTATACAATACAATACATTCTCATGCTGTGGATGGATTGATAGATAAATTGTTTTTTTTTTCTTCTTATGGTGCCACTTCATTCCCGAAGGTTTTTGAATCGATTCTTGACATTGGCCTTTGGTTTTTCTCTCATTGGTTTTTTATCATATAAAACAATGGTAGCATAGTTTTTCGTCGTGTGAGTGAGGTTACCGGAGCCCCAATTACCCCCCTCCCCCAGTCTCCAACCCCCGAATCCACCACAATCGTCAAATTCCCAATTCTCAAAAGGCCAGTAACGCACTTGTAACGCCTCTGGTGTTTCAGGTGTCCATGGGCAACGCCAATTGCTTACCATCAGGTGATCGGGCTGCTCGTTTACCAGCAGATCTCATAAAAAAGTAAAATCTTTTGCCCACTTTCTTCAAACCGCGGATACAAGGACTTGTTTCTTTTTCAGCTGTTTCATTCTCTCCGTCATCAATCCAATGAATAACGGTTTAATAGACTTTAACATTAATATAATGTTTGTTATTAATATACTTTGCGCTTCTTACCTACGACAAGATATTCACTCATTTAAGGGTGGACAGGCAGACATATCCAACGTCTTCCGCTGCGTCGATCTAAGGTCTTTGTTTTCTGGGCTCTAAGACTAGTTTGACCCACAGTTAAGTCAGCGTTCTCACCATATGGTGTGTGTAAGGCATAAAGGATAGGTTCGCCCTTGGCGACTTGCGTTACGTACCATCTGAACTCACCCCTTAACTGTAAAGTGTCGTAATATCACCTATCTTGTTTAGGGATTCCTTAAAATTCAATAAGTTTGCGAAAACAAGAATAGGTGTAATTATTATTATGGTATCCTCACAGACAAAGGTGGTAAACTAGTCTTTATTTTATCTTGGAGTAAATATATCAATTAATTTAACACAATAAGAAATAAGCAATTTAGTACTTTATACTGTTTTGACTTCTTGAGTTTAACAGTGTAATATTGTTGCAGTGCCTATTTGGTGCGGGTGCGAGCACAGGTCATGTGCCGCGACGAGGGCACCGGGGGCTGGGTGGCGCTTGGCGGCGGCGGGCTCGCTGATGTCATGGTCGGGAAGCGAGCCCGCACCCATAGGGCCTCAGGTAAGAACAACAATTACTAACTGCCAGTTTCTATAAATAACCTATCTATCTGTAGATTTGCTTACTAGTGATAGAATTTTGACACATTTTGTATGGAGCTTATGTCAAAATACTATCACTAGTAAGCAAATCTACAGATAGTAGATAGGTTATTGAAATTGGACGTAAACCGTCCTTGTACACCAGTAATGGTCAAACATGTTGATACTCACTGCTCATATGTACAACCTATAATATGCATTCTATGATGTATTATTATTTCACACATGTTTTTGCAAATAAATAATCTTTGTTTTTGTAACATGTTGAGCTAACACAAATATTCCTTCTCCGTGTGTAAAGAGGTCTTTTCTTACCCGCACCCGGCAGGCGGTTACCGTGGCCTATGAACGCTTAGAACACATAAAGCATTAATTTAAAAACCTATTTACTCCCTTCTTGAAGAACTCCATGTTGTAGCCTACAGGGAAAACCACCGCAGAGAGTTCATTCCACAATCGAAAGGTCCGTGTGAGGAAATTCCAAGAAACCGAACTGTACGGGACCATTTGTGCGCCAAATTGAGCACCACCTTTTTTTTAAAATCGATTAATACCTCGGCCATTGAACTCCAGAACAAAGAACTAGAAACGCTCCTACTATTAACCTACTTAAAAACATAATGCTAATTGCACATGTCTACTTATGCAACTGACTAATGATTCACTCTAATGAATGAGGCTCCTTATAAGTTCAAACTGGCCCATTGTTAACCTACTGCGCAAAAAGTGGTATTGTGTGTTGATCATTGGTGACTCCAACTTAAATGTTATAATGTTAGGTGTAATACAATGTGGGTACCTGTCCCATAAACGGAAAACGTGAATAACTTTATTGATGGGTGATGACCGTCTTTTGGTGTCTCAGTAGGTACCAAAACTACGCAGAAAAATACACAATTCTTCTGTTTTTCACTCTCCAATTATACTTTAATTCCAATGGGATTCTCATTCTCTTTGAACCGTGTTTCGGCACGAAAGGGATTCCTACCACCGCGTTATACAACGCATGCGTTCTGTGCAACCGTATCCATTATCCTCAAAGGCTAGCAACTAATGTCCTGTTCACACTACACCAGTATTTTAGTCGAATAGCTCTGTCTTTCGCTTCAGTTTTGATAGACAGAAGCATGAGAGAGCAAGTCTCGCTATTCGACGAAAATAGTTACGTAGTTGGCACTATGTCACTACGTACGTAAGTCGTAGACCGCATCATACCTTACCATCAGGCGAGATAGTGGTCAAACGTCGGTCCATCAAAAAATGTCGCTCATATGACTAACGATAACGAGGTGTTCCTAAATCTTACTTTTTTATGGCATACCTAAGCCGGTAAACGAGCAGACGGATCACCTGATGGTAAGCAAACGTCGCCGCCCATGGACACCTGGAACATTAAGGTGTTACAAGTGCGCCTTTTTGGGAATTGAGTATTTGAGGATGGTGGAGGATTCAGGGATTGGGGAGTGGAGGTAATTAGGCCTCTGGTAACCTCACTCACACGACGAAACAACGCAAGCTTTGTTTCACGTCGGTTTTCTGTTTGGCCGTGGTATCACTCCGGACGAACCGGCCCATTCGTGCCGAAGCATGGCTTTCCCATACTTAAAAAATTTAATTAATTATATTATGATTTTGTATTTCCAGCTGGGGGCGAGAGTAACGGTGAGATGGCAGTGCCCGGTACATCGACATCCACAGTAGTCGCGGCGATCGCACCTACGCACGAATACTTTATACATGGGAAGCGCATCAGTGATGGCTTGGTAAGATTACTACGTAGTAACTCATAAATTATTATTACTGCCTCTGCGGCCGAGTGGTCGCTAGTTTGACTGCCGGGCAAGGGGTGACGGGCTCGACACACGGCAAAGTATAACTGCAGCTGTAGCCAAATGTCATTTAGCGCTTGTCTACTTGTAGAGTAGAAAACTAAATTATATGGAATTGACGCAAATTTTGACACTTGTCAGTATCATCCCCATACATTTTGATTTCTACTCTCTGTAGACAAGCGCTAAAGTGGCGTTTGGCTAAAGGCACTGGGTTTAAAAAAAATCTCAGTAGTAGCACGGAGTTTGGAATTGTGCCCGGTATATGGCAATAGGCTCACCCATGTATTACATGGGACTCATAACATAAATAGTGAAAAGTGGGTGTTACATTGTACAGTCACATTAAGTGCCGTAATAATTACATGTGCTTAATAAAAGGCGTGAATATTATGTTCCGTCTCTATAACCATATATTTTTCTTAAAATTGCAGGAAGTCCTAGAATGCACTATAAAGAAAGACTTCCAGTATAACAAGGTGATGCCCACGTTCCACCACTGGGTGACGGACGAGAAGCGCTTCGGTTTGACCTTCCAGACTGCTGCTGATGCCAGGGCCTTCGACAAGGGCGTGAGGACTGCTATCGAAGAACTGCTCGACGGTAAGCGGTAGTGTTTTGTAAATGTAGTCTTGTTATAAAACTGAAGATTGGTGACAGATTCCATTAAGGTACTTGATAGACTTATAATAGAATTATAGAACCAGTGTCAAAAATCTTTATTAATTGGGTACTTTGCTTAATCAAAAATAAATTATTTCGACTGTTCAATACAATAAAATATAAAAAAATAATCACACTTTCGTTAATTGATTTTATGACGAAGCTAATTTTAGTAATTTGCCAGCAAATTTTTAAGAAATAATTTATTCTGTTTGACTCTAAAAAAAGTGACGTCACAATACACAATCGCGTACAAAATTCATAGAAAACTGTCGTTTTTGACAGTTCGAAAAAAGTATTGAATTTGACTAGTTGGCAAATACCCAATTATTACATTGCATTGGTGAAATTAACAATATGTCACTAATTGCAGTATTGTTTTATAATAAGACGAAATTGGTTTATTCTTCAGGAAAAACAAAATGTACCTACATACTAATTGTATTAAAAAAATATTTGTTTCCCTTGATCATAATAGATAAGGGTAAATATAATTTGTATTTCGATTTTGAAAATCCCATTAACAATTACAATGTAAGTAATACAAAGACCATGTATTAATTTACTAAAGAAAATTTGAATGGCAAAAGTCAAAATCATTTATTTCAATTAGACCAGAAAGGCACTTTTGAACGTCAACAAAAAATTAAAAGTGAAGCTATTTGCTCATTCCAAGGTGTAGATTCCTATGGAGAAGAACGAGCAAGAAACTCTATAGGTTACTCTTTTTCAATCAGGTTCACAATACAATTCTCTAGTTACATAGTTTTGTTGGTTCGATTGTGCGAGAACAATGTAACACTAAAATCCAGTCAAAGAGATCGAATGTACATGTATAAAATGACTTTGACTGCACGGTTGGTGTAAGGGCTGAGCAACCGGCTGCCGCGCAACGTGTAGCGGGTCCGATTCCCGCACGGAACAACTCTTTGTGTAATCCACAGATTGTTGTTCCGGGTCTGGGTGTCATGTGTATGTGAACTTGTATGTTTGTAAACGCACCCACGACACAGGAGAAAATCCTAGTGTGGGGCAACGTTTTTTAAAAACAAAAATAAAAAAGAAAATGAATGTATGAAATGTAAAGAAATAAAGAGGTATGTAAGAATCGTAGTAATTGGCGTTCCCTAGTCTCTGCCTACACCCATGGGAGACAGGCGTGAAGTTATGTATGTATGTAAAGAAATAAAGTTTCATTATTCTGAATATTATCCCTGAAGAATAAACCTTGAGCTTTATATTTGCTTTGGCCATGCCGAGACTACGTACGTATATAAAATATACATATCTGCTTATCAATACTATGTATTCTATTTACTAATATTTATTGTTTAAATACTTATAATTATTATTATTTATTCTCATGGAAATTAACTTATAAGAGACTTGTACACCGTAACATCTATTTCGTTTTCCTCACGAACTAAAATAGTTTTGTCTTGGTAATTTTTTTTTATAAGCCGGTAAACGTGCAGACGGATCACCTGATGGTAAGCAATCGGCGTCGCTCATTGACACCTGGAACACCAGAGGCGTTACAAGTGCGTTACCGGCCTTTTGGGGATTAGGAGTTTGAGGATTGTTGGGGATTCAGGAATTGGGGAGATTGGGGAAGGGGAGGGTAATTGGGCCTCCGGTAACCTCACTCACACGACGAAACACAACGCAAACGTTTCACGTCAGTTTTCTGTGTGGCCGTGGGATCACTCCGGTCGAGCCGGCCCAGCAGTGCCGAAGCATGGCTCTCCCACACAGTAATACAATAGTTTTACAAAGAAATAAAATGTTTAAAAGCTGGTGAACCATTGGGTACTTGCTTTAATCAAAAATAAATTATTTCGACTGTTCAATACAATACAATATTAAAAAATAATCACACTTTCATTAATTGATTTTATAAACAACATAATTTTAGTATTTTTCCAGCATTTTTTTAAGAAAAGTTTTGGTCTAGTGAAAAGTGGGTGTTACATTGTACAGTGGCATTAAGTGCCGAAATGTGCACCTCTGCCTACCCTTTCGGGGATAAAAAGGCGTGATGTTATGTTTGTGTTTTTTAAGAAATAACTATGCTGGTTGACGCTAAAAAACGTGACGTCACACACAATACACAATCTCGTACAAAATTCATAGAAAACTGTCGTTATTGACAGTTCGAAAAAAGTATTGAATTTGACTAATTGGCAAGTACCCTATTGCAATAAGCAGACTTCGAAAGCGCATACGAACTCATAGTATACATTATCAAAACATCACGTCATGTAATTCTCGAAGAGGTATTTCTCGTCGGGTGGCACGTGCGTTGCGAATAGTACCTACAAATTTACGTCTAGTGTTTCATGTGCGTATTTCCACGAATTATTTTTTTAAACAAAAGAATTACATTTTTTTTTGTTTTTACTTTATACATCGAAAGCACTCATTATGGCAATTTGTTTAGCCGCGGCACGCAAAACGAAATAGATTTCACGGTGTATTTGTGAAACTAATATTTAATATTATTTAAAAAACAGTATTACTATTTAACAATATTCAAATAGTATTGTATTAGTATTGATCTATCTCTTAATTGAATCAGTTCTGTAAATGTTATATTTCTACTTTACTATTTATAATGTGTACTGCATAACGCTGTTCGCAATATTATATTTAAGTATACATAACAAGGACAAAAACGTGCATAAATAAATAAAAATACAAGGAATATATAATATATATTGAATATTGAATAAAATATAACAATAGGGTAGATGCCTAATTTTTATTTTAATGTCCGTCTAGTAGAATCATACATAACACACGTATTTTTTATTGTAAATACTATTTACAATAAAAATATATTTCAAAATACAGAAATAGGAGCCGACCAGTAGCGGGAGCATGGTCCAAGGTACCGATGGTTAGGGCTCCAGAGACAGAAACCTCACGATACGTGCCGTTTCAAGGAGAACTGCCAGAAGGTAGTTCTCATACAGAAGTATCAGGCTAATGCCGGAATACTGAAACGTTACTCAATTTTAAGACGTGCTCAAATATCGTACCATCTCTGTCATTTTACAAAGAATTTGTAGAGATAGAAATACTCGTCGACTGCCTCGTTGGCCGAGTGGCCGCAAGTGCGACTGCCGGACAAGGGGTCTCGGGTTCGATTCCCAGGTCGGACAAAGTATTACTGGGTTTTTAAAAAATTCTTAGTAGTAGCACGGAGTCTGGAATTGTGCCCGGTATATGGCAATAGGCTCACCCCCTATTACATGGGACTCATAATATAAAGAGTGAAAAGTGGGTGTTACATTGTACAGTGGCATAATGTGCACCGCTGCCTACCCCTTCGGGGATAAAAGACGTGATGTTATGTTATGTTGTAGAGATAAAACTATACTTAAGCACGACTTAAAATTGAGTAGCGTTTCAGTATTCCGACATAAGGGCTTTATTACGTATTGTAATATTGTTGCATGTATTTGTCCTTGCTAGTCCGCTATATATCCTGTCGCTCGATGTTTAATATATAATGTGGAACTAATTTATCTAATGTGCTTTCTTTTGCCTCCTCTACCGTATACTGGATTCCTACACGGTGAGTTTTTATATATTTTTACAAGATATATTTATTTTTTGAGCTGTTAGTTAGAGGTTTATATTGGGAAAACAATAAAAAAAAAAATAGTCAGTCTATGACTATACTTTTTTTTAATAATAACTACCGTGTGACATACTAACAGCCAGTTTCAATAACCTATCTATCTGTAGATTAGCTTACTAGAGATAGTATTTTGACATGAGCTCCATAAAAAATGTATCAAAATTCTATCTCTTTTTTTATCTTTATTTATTTACAGGGTTTTTTAAAAATTCTATCTCTAGTAAGCAAATCTACAGATAGATAGGTTGCAAATCTACAGATAGATAGGTTATTGAAATTGGACGTAAATGAACTAAAAATCGCAGGTTACTCACGTGCTCATACTGATAAAAGCTCAAAGTAGGCTGCGCGATGTCGCCGCGACTGCTCACGCTACTCATGAGGAAGAGCCCCTCTGTGGCTCGAAACTAGTAGAGCTTTGTTTTTATAATAACTATGAGTAGACTGCCCGATGTTGCCGCGACCGCGCACGCTGTTCATGAGGAAGAACCCCTCTATGGTTCGGAACTAGTAGAGCTTTTCTCAGTATATTCACGTGAGTAACCCGCGATTTTTAATTAATTTACTACTAAATTACAATTAAAAGCTCTACAGCTTTTCTCAGTATCCTGCGATTTTTAATGCAATCAGACTTTCATTTTTAATGCAAAGTAGACATTGATCGTGTAGAAATAAAGAAGTTACAGAGTATAATGTACATATCTATTTAGATACCTAAATACAAATGAATCTAAAAATATTTATTTTTTTATAATTTTGACTACTCGTTTGGTGCGGTAGCTGGGAAATCGGCTGCTGCGTAACGTATAGCGGATTCGAGTCCCGCACGGGTGTTTGTGTTTGTGTGATCCACAAATTGTTGTTCCGGGTCTGGGTGTGATTTGTATCAATTAATTCTTTTTTTACAACATAATATAAAAAAAAAACAATTATCTAAGAGTAAATACGCGTTTAAAGGTGATTTACAACTTTATTATTTAAAAAAAACCTGGCCTCACAATAGGATTTTCTCCTGTGTCGTGAGTGCGTTTACAAACAAGTTCACATACACATGACACACAGACCCGGAACAACAATCTGTGGATCACACAAACAGTTGCACCGTGCGGGAATCGAAACCCGCTGTACGTTGCACGGCATCCGCTCTAGCCACCGTGCCAACTGTACAGTGAACTTACAAGTGATTTGATTTCACTACTTCGAGAAAATCACAGTTTTCTCTAAAGGTTTTAATAGGGACTGCCTCGTTGGCCGAGTGGTCGCAATTGCGACTGCCGAGCAAGGGGTCTCGGGTTCGATTCCCGGGTCGGGCAAAGTATTACTGTGTTTTTAAAAAATTCTCAGTAGTAGCACGGAGTCTGGAACTGTGCCCGGTATATGGCAATAGGCTCACCCCCTATTACATGGGACTCATAACATAAATAGTGAAAAGTGGGTGTTACATTGTACAGTGGTATAATGTGCACCTCTGCCTACCCCTTTGAGGATAAAAAGGCGTGATGTTATGTATGTTTTAATAGGATGTTATAGTAATCATGTATGTAATATTGTCATAGGTTTGGGTGGCGCCTGGCCTTCACTTCATGCGTATAAAAAACACAACCCAGCGCCGAAAGAAGAGGATGAGGAATCCAATATCTTCGAGGTAAGTTATATTATTATTTACTACATAATAATAATAAGGTTATTCACCTTTCAAGGACTGCCTCGTTGAGTCGTTGGCCGAGTAGCTGCTGGGCAAGAGGGCTTGGGTTGGATTCCTGAGACGGGCAAAGTATTACTGGGTTTAAAAAAAATCTCAGTAGGTAGTAACACGGAGTAAAATTGTGCCCGGTATATGGCAATAGGCTTACCCCCTATTAAATGGGACTCATAACATAAAAAGTGAAAAGTGAGTTTTACATTGTACAGTGGCATTAAGTGTTGTAATGCTCACCTCTGCCAACCCTTGGGGGATAAAAGGCGTGATGATGATGACAGAAGAAGTTTTTTTATGATTTTTAAATCATCATCTTATCATCACGCCTGTTATCCCGGAAGGGGTAGGTAGAAGTGCACGCAAAGGTAACACCCACTTTTCGCTATTTATGTTATGAGTCCCATGTAATAGGGGGTGAGCCTATTGCCATATACCAGGCACAATTCCGAACTCCGTGCTACTACTCAGAATTTAAAAAAAACCCAGTAATACGTTGTCCGACCCGGGAATCGACCCCGAGACCCCTTGCTCGGCAGTCGCACTTGCGACCACTCGGCCAACGAGGCAGGCAAAGCGATGTTTAAACTTATGTGTTTATTGTCAATACGTGCTACTTTTATGGTTGTATAAACCAATAAAACTTTATAAAATGTATTGCACTGTCCAGTGCCTGAACCTGCCGTGCTCGTCCCGCTCGAGCTCGGAGACGTCGTCCGCGTCGCGGCGCGCGCGCCCGCCCGACGACATCACGCAGACTCCCATCCTGTCCGCCATCACGCTGCCCAGGCACCCGCTCGCAGGTACATTGTGGCACTTCATTACTTTCTTATTTATTTAAGCAATCGGCGTCGCCAATGGACGCCTGGAACACCAGAGGCGTTACAAGTGCGTTACCGGCCTATTGGGGATTAGGAGTTTAAGGATTGTTGGGGATTCAGGAATTGGGGAGATTGGGGAAGGGGAGGGTAATTGGGCCTCCGGTAACCTCACTCACCCGTTCGAGCCGTGGTATCACTCCGGTCGAGCCGGCCCATTCGTGTCGAAGCATGGCTTTCCCACACTTAAGACTATTTTCTTTTTCTATCTCTTTGATTGAATTTTGATGTTACACTGTTCTCGCGCAATTGAACCAACAAAACAATGTAACTAGATAATTGTATTGTGAAGTAACTTATTATGGAGTTTCTTACTCGTTCTTCTTAGTAAGAATCTACACATTGGAATGAGCATATAGCTTCACTTTTAATTTTTTGTTGACGTTCAAAAGTGCCTTTCTGGTCTAATTGAAATAAATGACAGAGTTTGACCCCAATCCCCAAATTACCTGCACTCAAATATTAAAAAGGCCGCTAACATACTTGAAACTCTTATCTTAGCATTAGATAAAGATATATTTATTTAGTAAAACATGAGTAATTACAATTAAGGTGTTTTTTTGGTTAGTACAGAGTCTACATGTTTTGCCATATATGGTAGGTAGTTTGCCATGTATGGTAGTTAGGTAGTCCCCTCATGCTTTAAAAGTAAGCCTAATACCCGAATACTAAAACGCTACTCAAGTCGCGCTTAAGTATAATTCTATCACAAAAGACAGATGTGGCATGATATTTAAGTATTTTTTATATTTGATGGGCCGACGTTTGACCACTATCTCGCCTGATGGTAAGCGATGATGCGGTCTACGATGGAACACGTCGTCCCATAAGCGACCTATTCACTCGGACCGACTCGACTGCACGGTTGGTGCGGTGGCTGGGCAACCGGCTGCCGCGCAACGTGTCGCGGGCTCGATTCCCGCACGGAACAACTACTTATGTGATTTACAAATTATTGTTTCGGGTCTGTGTGTCATTGTGTATGGGAACTTGTATGTTTGTAAACGCATCCACGATACAGGAGAAAATCCTAGTGTGGGGCAACGTTTTATTTTTAGGAAAAAGCTATGTAGTCTCCCAGGAACTTAAGATTGAGTAACCTTTACCTTTCAGTATTCGGGCATAGATTTATTAATTAAAAGATCAGAAATTCCTATAAAATACCGGATTATATAGTGAATATTACTAACTGTATTTATACAATGCTTGCAGACTCGCTGACGCAGTACGAGACTCAGTTCGACGAAACCGTGCACGCGGTGGAAGAACCGGAAATCGAACGGTGTCCCTACGTACATCTGTCTGCTGTAAGTATTACACTTTGTAAAGAAAACAACTTATTTTTATCAAATACTAGCTGACCCGACGAACGGAAATTCGATTTTTTTATATAGATAGAGAGACTATTTCAATGAGAATGTTAAAAATTATATACAAAATTGCCAAAAGTTAAGTCATATGAATTAGTTATATTATTGAAAAATTATATTATTTATATCGTGTGACGTCACGATTTACTACATTTTATAGAATGACGTACCTAGCTACCTCCCACTCCTAAACTTATCTCCGTTATCTAAGTATTGTTTTCTTATACGACAAAATAGAAAAATACGTGTCTAATCAGTCTAATATTTTTTTCATTATCTAACTGACGGACTAATTACATTATTTAATGTCCATACACAGTCTACTCCCTATTTAGTCAACGTACAGATTGAATACAATCAAAGATAACAAAGCTACAGCAACGTATGTATGTCCGTAGGTCCACGAGTACACGTACCCGGCAGTGAGCGCGGCCGCCTCGGAGATGTCGTCGCCCAACACCAAGCCGCCGCTACTCAAGCGGGACTCCGGTCAGTTGCACTATGGTTATCTTTATTTTAACCTCTCGCGTGTTTCTCGTACACACGGGTGTACGAGAGAGTTGAGTGCCCATCGCGCAATTGTACACACGGGTGTACGAGATACGCGCACCGATTGGATATTTTTTCTGTGACGTATATTTTCAAGTTTGCAACCCGTTCTTTATTTGATTGAACAGAATAGTTAATTCGCTTTTCTATTAAAATATTTACCCGTGTGTACGAATGGCGCGCGTTAAATACTGTAGTAATGGTCCCACGGCGGGATTAAAAGTTCTCCAACTCCTGCATTTATCTCTGTGTAAAGAGTTATACGGCCAATCCTTCTAAAATATGTACATATTGATCATACCACATCCACAAGCTCCATTTTCGGACCTTATTGTAACATTTCTGCCTCGTTGGCCGAGTGGTCGCAAGTGTGACTGCCGGGAAAGGGGTCTCGAGTTCGATTCCCGGGTCGGGCAAAGTATTACTGGGTTTTTTAAAAATTCTCAGTAGTAACACGGAGTCTGAAATTGTGCCCGGTATATGGCAATAGGCTCACCCCCTATTACATGGGACTCATAACATAAATAGTGAAAAGTGGGTGTTACAGTGTCATAATGTGCACATTGGGGTAGGCAGAGGTGCACCTCTGCCTACTACTACTAAAAACCACCCCGTTCCTACTCCTACTCTTCGAGCTGGAGCCCCAGCAACCCGTTAAGCCTTTTGCGACTCCGTATCGGGCCAGTTTTTATATTTCTACTCTACGAGTAAATGCCGAGTGACTTATGTATCATTGCACTATTGACACTAGTCTGTCATCTGACTATTGAATGAAAAGGTGTAAATTTAATATAACTTACTGTTACATTCCAGGGTCGATGAAGAAGGGCGGCAGTGGAGGTTACAGCAGTGGTCCCCCGCCATTGCCGGACAAGAAGCCCGCGGAGGCTACATTCCAGGCGCGGATTAAGTGCAGGTAATGATAACATTATCAGATATTTCTCCAAATTAAGGCTATTTGCCATTTGAGTCTTTAAAGGGGCAATATTATCGGTTGCTTATGGGACGACGTGCTCCATCGTAGACCGCTTCATCGCTTACCATCAGGCGAGATAGTGGACAAACGTCGGCCCATCAAAAATCAACTACAGAATAAAGAAATACTGTTATTAATAATAATTTGTCACACTAGCAAAATTTTTCTATGACTGGTCAAATACGTATATTATAATTGCCTTAATCAAAAATAAATTATTTCGACTGTTTAATACAATAAAATGTTACAAAATAATCACACTTCCATTAAGTTTTTTAGTAAATAAGTATGCTGTTTGACGCTTAAAAAACGTGACGTCACAATACACACAATCTCGTACAAAATTCATAGAAAACTGTTGTTTTGAACAGTTCGAAAAAAATCTGACTAGTTATCAACTACCGTATTGTATGTATCACATTATATTGAGGGAAAATTAATTGATTATGGTATTTGAGCTAGCCATGTTCGTTCATTTAGATCTTAGTTTCGATCCACGTGTATGCACTGCCCCATAACCAGTAGTTAACAAAGTGATATATTCCTGGCAGACACTGCCACGAGTGGTACCTGGAGAGCGCCAACCGCGCGGGCGCGTGTGAGTTCGCCCCCGACTGTTTCCGCTCGTGCATCGACTGTGTCTCCTGCATCAAGTGCGCACAGGTAACTAACTACACTTTTTCTTTGCATTACTGTTGTTCTGTATTTACTGTGTTCTTCAGTGTTTAGACAAGAGCTGAAACCTTCAAAAATGGTCAAACATTATAAGTGTATTATTCAGTTATTATATTTATATTTAAATGTTCCAGTGCATGTTGTACCACTGTATGGCGGACGCGGAGGGAGACTTCGCGCTACATCCATGCGCCTGCGCACCGCCTGATGAGGCCTGCGCTAAGCGGTATGTTGTATAATATATTAATATCTATTTTTTTTAAATATTTAATATTAATTGTCCATGGGCATATGATGGCGTTCCATAGTCTCTGCTTACCCCTTTGGGAGACAGGCGTGAGGTAAAGCAAGTAAATCATTTTCCACGGACTTGTAGTCCATGCCTTTGTCATACAATAACATAACATCACGCCTTTTATCCCCGAAGGGGTAGGCAGAGGTGCACGTTACAGCACTTAATGGGACTGTACAATGTAACACCCACTTTTCACTAATTATGTTATGAGTCCCATGTAATAGGGGGTGAGCTTATTGTCTGACAATGTTATTTTACATACCAATACCTATTTAAGTATTGTTTTTTAATAGTTTGCTTTGGAATGAGACTTCGGTTTTAGTCTTTCAGTAAAGATGTAAAATTGAGATCGGCTGCAGCGCAACGTGTCCTGGGTTCGAACCCGCGACACGTTGTAGGCGTTCCGCACGGAGCAACTCTTTGTGTGATCCACAGATTGTTGTTCCGGGTCTGTGTGTCATGTGTATGTGAACTTGTATGTTTGTAAACGCACACACGACACAGGAGAAAAAGCGAGTGTGGGGCAATGTTTAAAAAGACACACACAGACACGAACCAACAATCTGTGGATCACACAAAGAGTTGTTCTGTGCGGGATCGAACCCGCTACACGTTGCACGGCAGCCGGTTGCCCAGCCACCGCACCAACCATGCAGTCACAGTTTCACATTTGTATTTTATGTTGTAAAGATAATTGTATGATTTATTTTTACAAATGTGAATATTCTTAAGCCCAATGTTATTTGGTTCCACAAAAAGTTCATAGGTAATTTAGCAATCTTACTAATATTATAAAATCGAAGGTTTTGAGTCAGTGTGTTTGTGTGTATATATGATTGATTGATCACGTTATAATGGCTGAACGGATCGAAATGAACTTTGGAACAGAAATAGATTAGGGTGTGGAATAACATATATTATGGTACTTTTTAATCGTCTAGAATGCGTTGTGAATGAATGAATGTGGATGAAGCTGCTGACAATAAGTCAATTAGTATTAGTATTTTGTAATAACAATATTGTGATGAATGAGTAGTGAATAACGAGTTATCCCCCGTGCAGTTGGACAGTACGCTAGTATATAGTGATGACAGTAGAATGACGAGTGAGTACCGTCCCCCTGTGCAGGTGGATGGGCGTGAGCCTGCTGAGCGTGTTGGTGCCGTGCCTGTGGTGCTACCCGCCGCTGCGCTGCGTGCACGCCGCCGCCCGCCTCGCGCGCTCCGCCGGCGGCATGCACGCGCCCACACCGCGCGCGCCCCGCCCCGCGCCCGCCTAGCGGGGACCCACGCCCGCCTAGCGGGGACCTACGCCCCGCGCACTGCTCGCACAAGCCCCGCGCCGCGCCCACTCATAACACTATGTCTGGTACTAGTGCACTTAAACTGAAGGTACACCTGTATAAGGTGCAAGATTAATCGCAACATCCTGTATAAGGCGCTAGGTAGTCTGCCTGATAATAATATAGGGAAGTTCATAACACCCTATATAAGACGCAAGGTAATCTCAACACCTGTATAAAGTACGTGGTAGTCTACCCAATGGTCATAACACCCTGTATAAGGCGCGAGGTAGTCTCAATGAAGGCGCACTATACTCATAAACACCTTGTATACAAGACGCGAGGTAGACTTTTCAATGAAGACTTTAAACATCTCAAATTAAAGGACATTATGCTCTGTCCTTTGTTATAATTCTAGTTCGTTAAATACTACATAGTATTAAAACATATTATGCAGTATTTATGAAAATTGGGGTTATATTAAACTTGTATTTTGTGGTTATGTACATAGTTATGTTATTTTGAGGGTTAAAAAACGATAATTGAAGAAGAAAAGACGTGATTGGCAATTATGACAACATATTTAATGATCACTTAAAAGAAATATCGTTAAAAACGATGAAAAATCTTTAGAAATTATTAAAAAAATATCCCGACCAACCACAAAATACATAAAGGACAGTGCGATTAACGTCTCAAGAAAGCGCGATTTACAAACATCAGCGGGGGCAAAAGTCTCGAAAGTGCGGAAAAATCTAAGAGACATTAGCGGGGGTAAAAAAATCGGAGTTGGACGAATGTACAAGCGGTTAAATATATCACCGCTTCAAACAAATTGATATATGGAAAACAGATTTCACCAGATAGATGGAAAAGTAAGGATGGAATGAGAAGCAAGGCTTTCTCGATAAGAAAAATGCTATTGTCATGTGAAAAATACAAGAAATTGAGACAATTTTATAAGATTGTGTTTCGACATGTCTCAAAAAACATGACAGATATAAGGGGATTGACAAAAAGAAGGAACTATCATGATATAAATGCATCAGATTGCTGAACCAAAATTATTTAGTAAAGAAAACACATCGAACCGTTTTTTCTATATAAAAATAAAATTATATCGCTAAATTTTCTTTATCGATAACGCTGTGGCGTTCGATAAAAATGGTCACAACACTTTAAGTGAACACCACCCGCAATAAGTGAAAAAAATATCCAGAAATCGTGGTATTTTGATAGAAAGCGCCATTTTGGGCATTTAGCATTCATTTTTAATAAATAAGTGTTATTAATATACATGCACAAGAAGAAAGAAACAAACACTGCGATCTTTCCCATAGATGTACGTATTTTTAGATCTGACAACCCAAGAAGCTAAAACCTCTATAGTATTAATTATTTTTATTTCGTAACGCAAAGGAACGTGGTTGAAACAAAGCAAGTGGCCAGTGTTGCAAGACATTTTTTCATGATAGCAACACTGAGAGCAACAGTGAAGTGACAATGTCGATGTATCGACACGAAACGTGTTTTGAAGGGTGGCAACAATTTTTTTCTTTCGCTTTTTTATACCCAGTGTCAAAATTATAGTGTTGCTGTGTACGGTGTTGCCACTGTAAGACTTATTCGGTGTTTTAGCGAAATAAATTCGCATCGAATTGGGCTAATTCAATTCGCCATGGTCTTTGATGTGAGTCGTAGTGTTGGGCACCATTTTAGCTTATTAATTTTTTATTTAAACGCCCAACACTATTTATATTTAAAATGTTATATTGTGCCATAAATATGTGTTTTTAAATAATCTTTTTCTTTTACAATTTCTGTCTTCCATGACTAAGGATTGATTTTAAAAAGTTTAAAATTTATGATTGTTATTTGAAAATGGTTGGATTTGTTATTCGTGATGAGTTGTTCGAGAATATATGCTATTTCTATTAATTGATGTAATCATTACAAAGTATATGATATACAAAATGTTAACATATCCCATTCATTGTTATATATTTAACATTTTAAACGCTTCTTTACTTGTCTAGCCTAAGTTTAAATAAATGTTTAAAATTTGAAATTTAAATTTCATGTTTTAAATTTTATTCATTTAAAAAATGTTTAACGTTTATTTATTTCGTAACGATTTATTTAAATTGAGGCTAGATCTTTTAATATATTTGTACTAAGATTATGCATTCTTTTTTAAATTAGATTTATTTGAAAATACGGGTAGTATTGTTACCTAGACAGCGGCATTTTTTATTTCAAAGTTGTAATTTTTCTATAATTATTATTATTATAAAAAATAAAAATTAATGTGTATTGTAAATTTTAATATTCGTAATGTCATTGAAACAGCGTCATATTTATTATTAGTGTTATAATATAGTTGACATTAATCAGTTGGTTGAAATTAAATATAATATCAATGTTTCAAATAATTATGTATGTCTACTGTATAGGTTTAAGTAAAAAAAAAAAGTTTTTTATAAAACTTCACGCAAACACAAAAATTTTCACCGTACAAAGTTAATGTTGTCTAGTCTATGGATCAGTATTTTTTTAAAAAAGAAAATCATTCTATCTAAATATTTCCTTTAAGTTTGAATTTGAAAAAATGAAATGACCAAAATGTTTTTGTATATTTATAAATAAGTGGAATATACACGAAAAGGGTTCCGGTTATCTGTACATGAGGTGTCGCACTCAAACACACACATTCAATTATTGAAGTAATATTTAGTAGCGGGATATAAATATGAAATCTTCTAAGTTTTCGTAAGATATGAGGGCTCACTTATGAAAATTACACAAGATTTCATATTTCGATTTGCAGCTGCGATCCCTTGGATCTCAGCCGCGAATGCGTCAGGATCGTCTACAATATAAAATAGTAAAAAACAGTTTCAAATTTAACTAACCGGTTTTGTCCAGTGCCACACTTCTTTACAGCAACCACCCGAACCTTTTTCGTAAAACTTTGTTACTCCGTAAAATGAGAATCTTTAAATATTGTATCAAAATAAGTAAATGTATTCAATGTTTAATTATAAAAAAAAAATAATGTATTTTAACTGTTTTTTAAAGTAAAACATCAAATCGGTTGACGCAATCAATCGCTAATTAGCTGTATGAAGAGACTTTAAATATTTACTGTAGGAAATTTTAAGAATAATTAAAAATCAGTGTTAGTGTCTTTAAGCGTATTGGTATCAAATTTGATTAAAAACCAAAGTTATGTGTAAAAGAAGGTTTGTGCACAAGCACAGCCTGATATGGTTGTTTAAAATGAACATAAATGTATTGAAAATATGTAATAAATAATCGTACATAAATGTGTGTTGTTTTTTCATTTATAAACTCTATGGTTCTTTCTTGAAATGTTATCCCACTTACACTAAAATACCCTTTAGTTGGTTCTACTTCAGCCATTATCAATGTCACATATTATATTTATTTTTTAAACAAAAATATAAAAATCCATTTTTTTGTTATTTATCTATTTTATCTAATAACTAACTAGGTGTCCATTTTGGGATTAATCAGAAATTGAATATATTAAAAATAATGGAATAAAAACACAAAAACTATTCAAAAAATAAATAATCACCTTTATTTAATTATTAAAAAAATAAATTTTACAAATTAGATCATTCTTAAAAACTATTTATTTACATTACAGGAACATTTGTTAAAACTCAATTATTTGTTCCTAGCTAAATTCAATCCCTTTACATGCATTATTTACCAATTTACATGGATTTTTTATATTTAAATTAAGCAAATTAACTACAATTAATATCATTAACAATTATAAATAAATTATTATTTTATCTTAAGTTAATTCGTTCCTATTAATCTTAAACTGTCATAGAGATTGTATTTCTCGGCAGGATTCTTTAACAAATGAAAAATATATTAGAGATGAAAAATACCTACTTTCACATTATTACCTGATTATTGAATATCGATTCGCATTTACAAAACAATCTTAATTAAAATTATTGTCGTACAAGTCACTGGCTTCTGATACCTGCATATTAGATAACACGTAACATTATTTTCAATAAATCATAATTAATTAATTACATATTAAACATCTACAAATATTAACAAAAAACTCAGCTAAACATAAACAAAATACAATAACAAATTAAAATGGCCGCCAAAGACGTAGTTTCCCGCGCTCCGCTTGACACTTCGTTGAGTCGTTCGAAAACTTGAGCTTGCGAAATATTGTGAGGCTCTGGAACCGTCTCAACAAGTATTGGAGTTATTTCTGAATAATCTGCTGTTGATGGTCTTGTGCGACCAGCTGAATGAAGAAAAAAAATATTTGTATACAGATTAAAATGTATTTAGACTAAAAATAAATGGTAAGTATTGTTATTGGATATTTTTAGATGTTTTCGGTTCATATATTTGCTATGAAAAGGATTAGTAAGCTATAGATACTCAGACCAATAAAAAGCTACTAAAAACAGCTATCCGCACTTTAAATTAGCTTTGCACCTGGTAATAAATCATGGAGTCAATATGTCATTCCTTATGAAGTCTGCTTCATATTATGACGTATGTCGCGTTACGAGGTCGTTAGTCAGCTGTGAACGAGCGACAGCGCGTGACGTATACTTGTCGTCACGCGCTGTCCGCTTTACGTAAAATGCCGTCTTGTGTGGTAAAGTTCTGTAGAAACAATAGCACACATCAAACCAAGTCCCTTGGGGTTACTTTCCACAGGTTAGTACAGAAATTCTCATTAGATTATCAAATATTTAATCAAAACAATGATACGTCAATATCTTGATAACAGTGTTGCAAGGTAATAAATTTTATGTTTCCCCGAATTTGGGGAGTTTTATTTTGAAAGTGGGAATTGTTTATTAGATATTTTGCCTGCTTATTAGATTATCATTATTATGCTAGTCTGTAATTAATTTTAGATTCCCACCTGAGACGGATTGGAAAGAGAAATGGATAAAAGCATTACGCGACAATAGAAAAGAAGAGGAGTGGATACCATCGAAATTCAGCGTAGTTTGTTCTTTACACTTTCTAGAATGTGATACGTATATGACCAAAGGAGGTTATCGGAAAATTAAGAAAGATGCTGCGCCTAAGAAGGTAGGTTAAGTGCTACTTGTTATTTTCGTCCTTGTGGATGTCGGTTTTCGCGAATGCATAGTAGGTCACAGATCAAAAGGCGGCCAAAATAAACTGAATGGGAACGTAGCTGCTCTAGTTATGTTTTGATGAATTATTGTATAGAGCACATAGCTTGAACTTCTACGCTACTTTTTATCTGTCTCTTGACTTCGTAAGTTTTCGCGGTAACCGACATTTATTTACGCTAGCGGTGTTGCGAACTTAAACATGAATTCTACAATGTTGGTGTTTATCTATTTTAGATGTTCCTCAAAGATTCCGAATGGTTTGATAAAATAGAGCCACCAATTGTACACGTATGTGATCAACACGACACACATGAAGAAGAAAAGTCAAAGAAAGAACAAGAGCCACAAAAAAGCCAAGATTTACAGACGGATCCATTAATACCGGATCTTGATATCGAAGAGGTTAGTGCTAATGTTCCAAAAAAGGGAATTACTACGTGGCTAGTTAATGGAACAAAATGTGATGCAAGTCTGTCTATCATCCATGTATTCTGTGGGAACCGGTGACGTAAAGCATGCGCGGCTTAACTTCTGGACCAATTTTGATCCTTGGGTATGAAATATGGTATAATCTTGAATCTGCTGGCTTGGCGAAGGATATAGGTTACTTATTTGTATGTTTTATTGATATAACGTTTACACAGGTGTCGTCGACGACAGAAACTCGTTTAGCACTAGAAAGGCCGCCGTCCCAATTTTGTCCCATTTGCAAGTTTGATAATTCATATCTTTTTTATTTTTAAGTTAGTTGCGTGAAACGTTTGACTTTTATTTATTTTATTTTAATATGTCATAAATGCCACTTACAAAATAAAAAATAATATTTAAAAATATGAAAAATAGGAGCCGACCAGTAGCGGGAGCACAGTCCAAGCTACCGGTGGTTAGGGCTCCAGAGACAGAAATATGATTACTTAATAATAATTAATATTGTATTTTAATAATTATTATTGTTTTCAGTTGGAAAATAATAATACCTAGAACTGCCGCTGGGTCATTCGATTCTCGGCCTTTCTAGTGTTAAAGGTATGAATTTTTGTGTTGACACTGGTTTTGTATGTTTTTAGATTGATCTCATAAGTGCGGAGTGGTGTCAAGAAATGGAGGAATTGGGTATTACCACTGAATCTTTGTCAGCTCTACTGGACGAGGTTAGTGCTAATTCACGTCTCTTTGTATCCACTATCTGTCCTTATCCCAAGTTACTTGAAATCTCAGTAAAATATCTTCTATTCTCCTTTATCCCATCACAAACCGGTTCCATTCAAATCATTCCTTACAATTTATTATTCACAATATCCTAACAAAATTCTCTTATAGATGAAATCTTTTTCATTTACAGTGCTACAGTGATATCGAAAACGAATTCGACGATATAGATACCGAACAACCGAACGCTGTAGATGACCAAAATATCAACAAGGACGGCTCTGATACCGTAGTCCATAAGAAGTGTGATTGTAGGAAGAAACAAAAGAAACTTCGTAAGAAAAGGACTTTACAGGAACTGAAGGAGCGATTCAAGGTGTCTTACAAAATTCGCGTAAAGAAAAGTAAATTACAACTGCTAAGGGAAAAATTGACAGCCTTAAAACGAACGATGAGACGCTGAAGATTGATTTAAAAGACTTGAAGAGAGGAAGGGATAGGATCTAAATATCTTTGTTATTATTTATTACTTCTATAAGCGAGGTTGTTCGCGTGGAAGTTATTTTATTAGTTAATTTTTTTAGTATAATAAATAATCAATTGTAATTTAACGTTTTTTCAACTATGATAAATCAATTCTCGATGTAAATGTACCTAACTATGTAACTTAATGTCGTTTAGCTAATAAAAAAGTTGGTAAAACAACACTCTTTTACTTAGAACTGACTAAAATTTTGAGTAAATATGAAAGAAGAAAAAAATGCAACAAGTCTTATTATTTTTGTTGGGGAAATTATTGTTAAGCGGTACCAACATTTTTCTGGAACACGCATGCGCAAAACTGTCTTTCAAATCGCTGAAACATTTCACGATTATTTCTAAACAATGGCTATGTTTATATTTCATGTGATTTATTGGTCTGAGAACATTGTTAATAGCAGTATGATAAAGATAAATAAGTGGTAGGTACCAAAAATTGCAATTGTCCTACCTCCCGGCTCCGTAGCGAAATGTAATATCGAAGATGGTTTGCTCCAACCAAACCTGAAATTAAAATAAATGTTTAATAGTTAAATACATAATCGACCTAAAAATAACCAATTTGAATAATTAATCTAACTCGTCTACATATATATTTCTTTAGCATTATATCCACCCAAAAGTTGTCTCGTAGAAATCTCTATACCTAAGTGATAAGACCGCCTTTGTGCCCATTATTATTATTTATTTATGTTTGTCATTTCCTTTTTTTTCTATGTGTACATTACAATATTGTTAATGGTGTACAATAAAGATTATTCTATTCTATTTCTCCCCTGTTCTATCATTTTGTTCCGGGAAAAACTCCGTGAAGTTCTGGCAACATTAAAATAATTGGAACATGCGCGTTGCATTTTCTTTTAACTTTTTATATTGGGATTTTGTCTTATTATTTTTAGCTTCACGTTTCAGTTATTGATTGCATATCAATGATGGAAGCCTGCGTACGTAGCAAATAAAATATTTTAAGGGATGGAGTTGGTCTGATCTATATGGCAAACGGGAACGCTGCCTAGGGCAAATTTTCTTAGAATTCGATACACCATCTAGTTTAACTATAGTAACAAGGGGCACATTAATGGCTATTAAAATTAAAATTTTGGTAGGTATTTGTTTTAAGGGGGGAAAATCATCGAGTGACTTTTCCTGCCTGTGTGAGGCGGGATATGTCAGACTCTTAACTAAAAACCACCCCGTTCCTACTCCTGTCCTTCGAGCCGGAGCCCCGGTAACCCATTAAGTTCTCCCGGGCAAATTTGGTAGGTATAGGTACGTAAAAAATGTGTCAAAATTACCTACTTCTTTACTATACAAATCTACCGACAATGAGTACCTAACTTAAAAAGAGATGAGAATCCAATTTTATATTTTGATTCCAATTTTATATCTGATATCAATATAAAAAAAATATAGCGATGAAGTAAGAACCTTCTTCTTTTTGGGAATTAGGCTAAAAAGAAACCCTGAAATTTTTAAAGTAACTAAGGAACTGAAAGTTGCCAAATATTGTTTCTAAAAATAATGAAAATTTATTTATTTATTTTTATATAAAACCTTACCTAAACTATCATGACAGGTTTCTTCATTGCGATAGCTAGGCCTTAAGAACTAAATCTATGTTACGTCCAAACATAACAATAACAAAATCATAAAGAAAAACAAAAACAAATTCTTAGCTAAACTAAACTCAATAATCGAAAATAGTATAAAACAAATAAAAAAGAAATATTACAAAACAAAGAAAAAACACCATTACTTTGCTAAGTTTAAAAAACTTATAGATACATATAATGCAACATACTTAACCTACTAGTCTTAAAACATAACATTAATCTATTACAATATCTAAATGAGATCATAAGAAGAACACGGTCGCGAGATCAAAAAAAAAATGAAATAAAAAAAAATTCATTTGATAATGCAAGCGACGTATTATAAGCAATATTACGTATACCTACATAAGGGTCAATATACCTAGCCAATGTTCCCCAGCATTATCGATTAACGACAGGGTAAAATTCATTTAAGTTCTGGCAACATTAAAATAACATACCGGGCATGCGCGTTGCATTCTCTTTTAAATCAATACATCTAATTAACAGAATAATTAATTGTTTAGCAGTATATTTTAACTTTAAGATACTCTGTATCACGAAACAAGAAGGTAAACGGAAAACTAAAGAAAAAATCGTAGCTATATCCGCGTTTATCCAGTGTCGGATTTAGGGCGGGGCACAGGACCGCCGCCCAGGGCGTTATACTTGGTAAAATATACACAAACGATATTAATTTCCCTATTATGAATACCTAAGTAATATTAAAAACAAATAAATATCTGAAAGTAGCGTCGCTTAATACGTATTTATAAGTTTTCAATGCGAAGGAAGTGTGGGAGAGCCATGCTTCGGCACGAATTGGCCGACTCGATCGGAGTGATACCACGGCCGAGCAGAAAACCGACGTGAAGCAACGCTTGCGTTGTGTTTCGTCGTGTTCAATCTTATTACCATCCTGGACAATAGGGTTAATAGGTCTCCTATACATTGTCATTACATAAAAACTGAGTAGGCAATCTCTTACCTGTTTCTCGATGTAACGATAGCTTCGTACACCGTGGATGGTGTTAATCCTCGTACGGTGTAGATTGCACTGTGAATCGGACCTGAAATTAAAACAATTCGTCACACATACATATCATAACGCCTTTTATCTCCGAAAGGGTAGGCAGAGGTGGACATTATGCCACTGTACAATGTAACACGCACTTTTGACTATTTATGCTATGAGTCCCATGTAATAGGGGGTGAGTCTATTGCCATAATATAAGGCACAATTTCAGACTCCGTGCTACTACTGAGATTTTTTTTAAAACGCAGTAATACATTGCTTTACCCGGGAATCGAACCCGAGACCCCTTGACCGGCAGTCGCACTTGCGACCCGCGACGACGCGGCGACTGTCGCGCTGCTAGGTACTGGCTACTCGAGTCTGCGGGCCCAGCGCGCCCTCTGCCGTGATTCATGAATATGAGCTTCTAGCATGGCTTGAAACTAGTCGAGTTCCTCGTCAAATTATTACGTGAGTAAGTGAGTAAGTAAGAAACCATAATAATTCATTATTTTAACCCTTTCCAAAAGATTCAATTAAAACAGTTCAAAGTTCTCACCATCACTAGAGTCTCCGGGAACGACAATCTTGATCCAGTGGTTGGCGGGCGGTTCAGTGGTGAAGGCATCCGGTTCGGAAGTCACCAACCGACCGTAGTATGGACGGAGCCATAGATTGTACTCTACATTTATGGAGGAAAATATTTTTTTAAATTGGGATGATGACAGGGTATGAAAATTAAAAATCTATTTAGTCCGTAAGGTATGTAATGAAAAAATATCAGACACGTATTTTTTTTATTTTGTCGTATAGTAAAACAATACTTAAGTAGATAAAACGAATCTAAGTTTAGGAGTGGGGGCTAAAACGTAATTTCTACGTATAAAATGTACATAGAAGTGACGTCACGCGACATTTCAAATCAATATAATTATATCGTCGAAAGTATTCGTTTCAAAAGAAAATAAAAAATACGTGTCTAATGATTTAAAATAATCTACCAGACGGACATTAAAATAAAATTGGGCATCTACCCTATTGTGATGCAGTATTTTATTCTGTAATTATTTGAATAAATACAAACTGTGATAAACTTAAACAACATAATTACGTATAACTAGCTGTTGTTCGCGACTTCGTCTGCGTAAAACATAGTTACTAGTAGCCTATGTTACTCCTTAGTACAACAGCTATCTGCCAATAAAAGACCCGTCAACATCGGTCCAGCCATTCCAGAGATTTGCCAGTACAAACAGACAGACGGACAAAAATTATAAAAAATATATGTTCTGGTATGCTATCACTTTATCTCTGCCTACATAGCCCTAATCGAAAGTGGTGCCACCTACTATGTGCAAAAATGTGATTGTCATAACTCATTGGACTTCTGCTGCAGACTTACCAATGATAGTGGAATAGGAGTCGACTTCCCAGATCAGGGTGAAGCTGGTTGCTGTGGCTTTGTTCAGGGTAGCATCCACTTTGAATGAGGCTGCGTTTGGAACACCTGGTGGATGACAAAATTTACATAATTTCCATTTTATTACTCTAACGTCTGAATACTGAAAGGCTAAGGCTTTACTTAAATATAGTGCCATATCTGACATTTTTACTGAGATGTTTTTTTTAAATGTGCCACCCTAGCATTTTCACCTGTATCGTGGGTGCGTTTACAAACATACAAGATCACATACACATCACACACAGACACGGAACAACAATTTGTGGATCACACAAACAGTTGATCCGTGCGGGAATGAAACCAGCTTTACGTTACGCGGCAGTCGCTCGCCCAGTCACTAGCGCCAACTCTGCAATCCATGTCGATTTTACATATTTGCTGAGCCGACGTTTAACCACTATCTCGCCTGGTGGTAAGCGATGATGCGGTCTACAATGGAGCACGTCGTCCCATAAGCAACCTATTCACTCGGACCTTGAATACACCCTTCAGGAAACACAGACTCTGGTAAAGAATTCCACTCCTTAGCTGATGCGAAGCGCTTCGTGCGTGTGGGTGGGACATCTACCATGAATCAGACAGAGAGAACTATACTTAACCACGATTTAAAATGTAGTAACGTTTCAGCATTCAGGCATAAGTGTCGAATTGATCTTGACTTTCTAAGACAGACTAAGAATTCTTACGATCTCCAGTGTCTTGAATTGGGATTCGGGTCTTCTGAATTACCGATAGCAATAGTCTTGCATCCATAGTCTTCAAATTTCAGATTCCATGTACTGAGAATACATGTCATGGCCCTCGCTATACTGTATAGTAACTTTTGTGAGACATACTAAATAAATTATTATGTTTTCTTTAGCTTTAGCTTCTAGCATGGCTTGAAACTAGTCAAGTTCCTCGTCAAATTATTACGTAAGTAAGCCGAAAACATAATAATTTACCCTCGCTATACTGTTTCAAATATAGTATGACATCTAACTCACCAGTTAACCTGAACATGAGGTCAGCCATGCCCAATTTATTCTCGGCCCTAAACGTGTAGTTCCCAAAGTCCGTCTTCCTAACGCTCCTGAAGATCAGGTGGTGTACATTGTCATGTACCATTTGTACTATCCTGCAAAAAATGAGTTAAAGAAAAGTAATAAAGGAGAAAAGTCTTTTAATATAGTGTTAAGTGTGGGAGAGCTTTGGTTCGGCACGAATTAGCCGGCTCCACCAGAATCCCCAACAATCCTCAAAACTCCAACCACGGCCTCACAGAACACCGACATCAAATACGTTGTGTGAGTGAGGTTCCCCAATATCCCCAATCCCTGAATCGAGAACAATCCTTAAATTCCTAATACCCAAAGGGCCAGTAACGCACTTGTAACGCTTCTGGTGTTCCGGGCATCCATGGGTGACGCCGATTGCTTACCATCAGGTGATCCGTCGGCTCGTTTACCGGCTTATCTCGTAAAAAGTCTTCTGATAGGTCTTTGTGCTATCGGACATTTCAGTTATTGTTTAGTGCATATACAGTTTTACTTTGGGTCGTAAAATCTTGAAAAAAGGATCTTATAATATGACCTAGCAGAATTAAAAGTCTTCCCCTACGTCCATTTTCCATTTCCCATTTTTACTTCTACTTCTCTTACCTATCATCAGTCCTCACTGGTCTCCCGTCCCTGTACCAGGCGGTTCTAGCTGGTGGCACTGCGAACTCCAGCTTAGCAGCTAGCGCAGCTCGGAGTCCTATTGCAGTGTGCACGTAGGTACGGTCTGAAGTTACTACTGGGGCGTCTAGGGAGGAAGAAAGGCATTTAAAGTGGTGACTGATCAGTCGCACAACCATCCAACCAACCAGGACCATAAGTCCTGGGTTGATTTTAGGGTAAGACAAGGCAAAGCCTTTTATATGTGTTTTTTCCCCTTTGTGAGGTACTGTGTAATTGTCCTTCTTTAACCTATTGAGAAAGTAGGTTTGAAATGTGGACCTAATTGGTCAATAGGGTAGATGCCTAATTTTTATTTCAATGTCTGATAGAATATTTTAAATCATAAGACACGTATTTTTTATTTTCTTACAGAAACGAATACTTTCCACGATATATTGATTTGAAATGTCGCGTGACGTCACTTCTATGTATACATTTTATATGTAGAAATGACGTTTTAGCCCCCACTCCTAAACTTTGATTCGTTTTATCTAAGTATTGTTTTATTATACGATAAAATAAAAAAATACGTGCCTAATATTTTTTTCATTACCTAACAGACGGACTCATTATATTTTTAATTTCATACCCTGTCATCATCCCCATTGTTCATGCAAACATGTCTTAGTAAGTTAAACTCCACGTAGGTACCCTTTTTTGTTACCTTCAAATAACGCCTAGCTTTTTAGGGAATAGACTAGAAAATGTGAAATTTTTACCTCCCTAAAACCCGGTGGCCACCAATCTGCACCTCAAGGAGGCACTGGGTCCTCTTAGTAGATCAACCAAGAAACTTTACCTACCCAGGGTCCTGTACCAGAATAACAACATAGATATATCCACCTCAACACCTCAATAAACAACATACCTTGTATAACCACAGTGATAGTTGCTCTGGCAGGTTCCCCGACTCCATTATTGGCGATGCACTCGTAAACCCCTGCCAGTAACCGATGTTCAGCCCTAAATCTGATGCGGGAGCGATGTTCTAATAACGCCATCGGTTCCCCCTGGAAACAAATTCGGAGCATGCACGTTAACCGCCGCATAGGTCACCGGTGACCTACGTTAGCGGAGGATTTGCCAAATGCTTAAAGAAAAAATAGAGTTTGGAAGAAGCCTTCTAATTACTAATAATTATATTAAGTAAAAGTCTTATGTTACTCAAGCGAAAATACTGAGAAGTGGAGCTTCCACAAGTGACGATAGACCTAGCCTACGATAGACCCGCGATTTTTAGTTAATTTAATTACACGATAGTTGTTATAAAAGTGATGAACGCATTATTTTTATATAATACATTTTCATTCAAAATTCAAAGCGCCCTCAACTACGACCACCTCAAAAAGATTGATAAATATAGACGAAGCAAAAGGGTTCATTTCATTTGGCGTTTAATTTCCACTGTTTCAATGGGATATAGGTGTGATGATATGTATGTTCAGTTCAGTCACACTTAGCATTTGTTTTATTGGCATTTTTTTTTAAGGGGGGAAAATCATCGAATGACTGCTCCCACCTTAGTGTCAGACTCTTACTGACTAAAAACCACCCCGTTCCTTCTCCTGCACGTCGAGCCGGAGCCTCGGTAACCCGTTAGGTTCTCCGCGACTCCGAATCGGCATCGGCCCTATTGGGCCCCATCTGTAGTGGTCTGATGGCTCTTTGAGCGAGTGAAACAACGCTCGCGTTGTGTTTCGTCGTGTGAGTGAGGTTACCGGAGGCCCAATTACTCCCCCCCCCCACCTTTACCAATCTCCCCGATCCATGAATCTCCAACAATCCTCAAATTCCTAATTCCCAAAAAGCCGGTAACGCACTTGTAACGTCTCTAGCATCCCAAGCGAGCGCCACCGATTGCTTGCAATCAGGTGATCCGTCTGCCCGTTTACCGGCTTGTATCTCATAATAAAAAATACCCTTTTACTAAACAGGATTGGGAGAGCCATTTTAGAAACAGAACTTTAAAACTACGAACTTGTCACACATATCATCATTATTGACTCATCCATTCGGGAAGATTGTGGTGACACACGGTATTACACATGCAATAAGTGGGTATGCAGCAGACAGTTTGGTGTTTAGTTAGGTTACTCACATTTTTCCTCCAGTCCACAATAGGGGGCGGTGTGCCCGTGGTCTCACATCCGATATCTACGTAATCCCCCTTGCGAACTTCCAGGAAACCATCTTCTGGTATCGTCTTTACTGTTGGGGAATCTGAAACAAAAAGTATTTTTAAGAATGCTTTTTGCACGACCGTTTTCTTGGTGTAGTGGTTGGATACATCTTCACTTCATCCACTTAAAGATAAAGATTATTTTGGTTATATGAGACCCCTAAATTAGTATTTACTAACGAGCTTTGTCTCATAATTAATAAGGTTTTTACACTTACATAGAACTTCAATAGAGTGTGTCTGCTTTATTGGACCCCAAGGCTCCGGTCGGATGATCTGAAACAAATAATATCTCACATAAAATAATCTATCCTTTTTCGGTTTAACATTTCATTTCATCAAGCGTCTACCACGGAAAACGGTGTCTTTCGCTCTTGAAATAAATGAACCAATAAAAATCAACCCAGAACATCTTGCATCATGCATTCTTTACACGCAAGCAACTAGTATTTCAAATCAAGATAAGCACCTTAATAATATTTTGTATTCGCCAAAAGTTGATATCAAAATGCCCTTTTCGTCAACCATCATGCCTAAAACGATCAAATAATCCACTAGTCTTAAGAGTCTCAAGTCTAATTGCCATGAAGGGTGGTCCTAATTACCCTTTCAGTTCACAAAGTGGCCGACATATTGAGCTAACTGCTTACTTCCTTTCTGCATAAGTCGTAATGTTAGACTAATGCTAGTCTATTTACGGTAGCACCCGGATATATGGGTCATTAGGTTATTTGATCCGGCCGTCTTGTTAGTGTTATGATTCTGTGTCATAAGGTCTGAATTTGATGTTCCGGTTCTGACAAAATGACAGGATTATTGTATGAAAGAGTAATACCACGGCCTCACAGAAAACCGACGTAAAGCAACGGTTGCGTTGTGTTTCGTATTGTGAGTGAGGTTATTGGAGGCCCAATTACCCTCCCCTTCCCCAATCTCCCCAATCCCTGAATCCCCAACGATCCTCAAACTCCTAATCCCCAAAAGGCCGGTAACGCATTTTAAACGCCTCTGGTGTTCCAGGTGTCCATGGGCGATGTAGATTGCTTACCATCAGATAATCCGTCTGCTCGTTTACCGGCTTATGCCATAAAAAAATGAAGACGCCTGTGCAGTGGTCCCTCTGTCAAATGTGTAGTCTTAGTCGGCTCTTATGGGATACACGGGAAGATACACCGTAGAATCTATTTCGTTTGCGTCCCGCGGCAAATGAACTTACCATAAGGAGTACTTTCGATGTATAAAGTAAAAACAAAAATATAAAGATGTCATATTTTTATTACTTTAAAAAATTCATGGATATACGCACTTGATTGAAATACTAGACGTGAATTTGTAGGCACTATTCGCATCGCAAGTGCTCCCCGATGAGAAATACCTTTACGAGAATTACATGATGTGATGTTTTGATAATGTACTATACTATGAGTTCGTATGCGCTTTCAAAGTTTGCTTTTTGCAATGGTTCACCAATTATTTTTTGTTTTAAACATTATATTACTTTGTAAAACTATTGTACTACCAAGACAGAACCATTTTACTTCGGGACGAAAACAAGTGTATATTTTGTCTACTCCGCTGTCATTAATGCGCCATTGACTATACAACGTAATTTGGATCCCATCTTTTAGCAAAGATAACTATATAATTTAGATCTACACATAGGTTCTAGGCACGTCACTAAAGAACCACTTGGTAATAGGAACATTAATTAATTCAGACAATCACGCTATGGCGGCAATGCTCTTGAACGGTGATTAACAAGTGTTATAGAATTACAACTAATATGACGCCTGGTTTTCTCGGAAGGTTATGGACTATGGGACTGGTATAAGCTATCCATTTATTACCCTATCATCATCAGTCTTCGTCCACTAATGGAGAAGTGAAATGAAGATCCAGTTAAGTAGCTAAAGTGAAGGTCCACTAAACTCGATCTTCACTTCACTATGAAAATTGCATAAAAACCTACAAGTTTGATTGACCCAGAACTTTGTAAATAAGCAGTATGCTTCTCCTATCATCGAGTCAGTAGATTCAAGTGATGACAACATTGCAGAAAAATGTATCCTATTAATAAATGCGATAGTAGTATCTATGTTACTCTTTCGCGCCGAAACTACTGAAGGGATCAGAGTGCAAAGCACGAATAACTATCGCATTCGTAACGTAATAGTATCGAGCGCGTTCGGCGCTCTGATTGGCCGGCTCAAGTGAACCAACCAATCAGAACGCTTAACTCGCTCGATACTGTTACGATACGAATGCGATAGTTATTCGTGCTTGGCCCTCAGGTTGAAATTCGAAACAGGGGTAGATTATGGTCTAGATCTAGAATAAGACATAGGCTACTTTCATCTTGTTGATTGCCTCACCATTTCTTTTTTAATTACCCATATTCTGACAGTTTGAGTATTTGTGCGGCCTACGCAAATATTCTTTGGTGTATTGTTCGTCGAATCAGTCAGCCTCACCTGTTAATTGAGCCGACTGTAAACCGACACATGCGTACTGCCTTCAGAACGGGTCCGCTTAAACTGTTGTGGTTCTTTCCTCAAAAGGCCACTACAGAAAGAACTTGCACGGTTCTCACACATAATCTATTATACATATTGTCTGGACTTTAAAAGAGACAGACCTCTGAGTTTTTTCGGCATTTCTTCTCAGAGTAGTCAGTTAGGAAATGTCGACCTCATCGTTCGCTTGATAAAATTGACGTGTGCTGCCTTGTAGCCTATTTGCAGAAATAAATTCACTTGTTTCATCCTAAGGTAACGCGGGCGAAACCTGAGGCAAAAGCTAGCACTTACATATTATTATATACCTATACATATGTAGGTATGTATGTATATGTGTCAGTTACAAAACAGAGCAGATCGGGTATCAAAAGAGTTAGTACAAATTGATTAATTGCATAATTGGCCAGGCTTGAGAGCGGTAAACGAAACGAACATCGTTGGTAGTGAAGGGAAAATACTATCGATATTTTTTGCCACAATTTTTGTGTTACATTTAGATGTCGATACGTGTGCGTTTTGTGGATGTTAAACGGAAAAATGGATTGGAGTTTTGTTTTTAAATGTTAGCATTGAAGTTAAGTAGTTTAACTACGAAAATATTCGACAAGACTGCCTATAGAGTTTAAACTGTCAAACACCAAGCGGTCACCGGTGACCGCGACCTATTGTTCTTTAATTGTGTCTATAAAACCGGTACTCGACGAGTTAATAAAACGTAGGTACTTTTGATAGTGCCTAATCAACTGAATAATTAATCCACTTACACGCCTCAGCCGATAAGCGCAATAGTAGACAGTATTCATGCTCCTACAAAAAATATTGAAATTGAACCACTTTATAATACTTTACTTTAGACGAGTACTGCAGCTTTGATTTTAAATCCCTTAATCAAATCATGCAATAAACGGGGTCAATAAACTGCTTTAAGAATTTGACTGGCTTCAGAGTATAAGCTTTCACGGCCTCATGTTTATTTAAATAGGGATTTATGGGGAACTGTGAAATTTACTATAATGCATTTAGTATAAAATGTTATGGTATGGAAGTACTTAAATAAAAATAATTTAATTTTTAAGTAAGAATAACGCTTCCTTTGTAGCTCTTATTTCCATAGTTATTTGAATTTATTACAAGTTGCTGCCTATTTGGGTATACATATACTCCGCATATGAAATTAAGCAATAGGTTAAAAAAAACATGAAAAATGTATTGTCGATATAGTAGTAAATTTGTATGTGCATAATAATATTGTGAATTGTAGTTGATATATTTAATTTGCTCGTCTTTCCTCTTTTTAATATTTATGTAAGAATGTAATTTGCAATGTTGTAATAATGAAATATAATTATAATAATATAATTATAATTATATATTATGACTTTTATGACTTTAAATTGAATTTGTATGTATCTATAGTTTGGAATATTTTAAAACTGTATTGAGACTATATATGACTAATTGTATTTTAAATTCTGTTTTGTATTTTATTATTGTATGCTTCAACGGCGGGTCATAACTGTACTAATTTTAATTATTTAAGACTTGTATTTATGATGCATACCTAGACCTGTATTTATAGTTCACAATAAAGACGATTTGATTTGATTTAATTATGAATCATATATTTTATCGACAAATCTATCGAGCGTGTCGCATGCCTAGTAACAAATTAAAAATAGTTAAGATCGAAGGGCGGTCATCTTTTCATCAGTTTAAGCCAATTGTTGTTGTCAATGAAATACTTTTTATTGTTCCGTTTGCAATTTATTGTTGTATACCATTTTGTAATTGGTTAAATTGCTTGTGTCTTGTGTGGAGTAGAGTATAATATACATTTGATACTATTCTTCCTCCTGCGGGTGTCCTAGAGCCTACTAAGGCATTTCACTGATTGTTTTTTTTTTTTTAACGTTGCCCCACACTAGGATTTTCTCCTGTGTCGTGGGTACGTTTACAAACATACAAGTTCACATACACATGATTGACTTTGAATGATTCAGCTATGGTCTCCAACTCGCCTCTGGCCACCGTAAGCACGGGCCTGCGGACGGCGAGCATGGGTGGCGAGAACCAGACCCGAGCGTACGGCGCGTCGCCTTCTACGCGCGCCTCATCAGACAACCACGGATGGGGCCCAATAGGGCTGATGCCGATACGGAGAACCTAACGGGTTACCGGGACTACGGCTGGAAGGGCAGGAGTAGGAACGGGGTGGTTTTTAGTCAGAAAGAGTCTGACACTCCTTATCACCTTGCCCGGGCGGAAGGAGTCATTCGATGATTTTCCCCCCTTAAAAAAACCTTCTTAAAGACAAAAGTCTCACAGTAGTCACAGTTGGACTATAGACTAGTGAACTTTGACAGTTTGTTGATTGTGTTGTGTTTTGTTCCGTTCAGAGTAGCATTTTTTGACTATAAACTTTTTTTTTATGGAATAAGCAGGTAAACAAGCAGACGGATCACCTGATGGTAAGCAATTGGCGTCGCCCATGGACACCTGAAATTCCAGAGGAGTTTCAAGTGCATTACCGGCGTTTTAGAATTAGGAATTTGAGGATTGTTGGGGATTCAGTGATTGGAGAAAGGGGGGAGGGGGGGGGTAACTGGGCCTCTGGTCCTGTTGACGTTTCCAAACTAAATAAATACAAACACATAAAAGTCATACCTCACAAGTATAGTCAGCGGTGTCCTGTGTTTGAAGGTTGTCGACCTGCAGACTGTAGTTGGAGTGCATCTGTACTCTAGGCGGCATGGTCTCGTGAGGAGTGTGGCTGTCTCCCAGGAGTGTCTTGTCTTTATACCAGCGGATGCGGAGCTTGCCCTCTGAAAATTATATTATAGTATTTTTAACATACTGCCTTCCTTGTTGGACGAGTGGTTTCCCAATTCCCGGGTCGGGCAAAGTATTAGTAGTATTGTAACTTTCGTGAGACATACTAAATAAATTATTATGTTTTAGAACTAGTCGAGTTCCTCGTCAAATTATTACGTGAGTAAGCCGAAAACATAATACTTTATAAAGTATTAGTTACTAAGTTTTAAAAAAAACTCAGTAGTAGCACGGAGTCTGGAATTGTGCCCGGTATATGGCAATAGGCTCACCCCCTATTAAATGGGACTCATAAAATAAATAGTGAAATGCGGGTGTTACATTGTACAGTGGCATAATGTACACCTCTGTCTACCCCTTCGGAGATAAACATAAATAAAGTTATTAAATAAAAGACAACAGGTCTCAATATGTAAAATGCCGTCAATGCAATAGCAACTTCTCTGGTGTTGCGGGTGTCCATGGATGGCGTCATTTACTCATTCAGGCAATTCGTCTGCTCGTTCACTGGTCTATGCCATGAAAAGTCTTATATGGGACTAACTAGGAACTATTCGTATCTAAATAGATTACAAAGGGCATGTACGTACGTTGCCTAGACATTCGTAGTACCGTAGGTTTACCGTACCTAGTATTACCGTAGTACCTAGGCATTCGGATGTTGCGTAATGTCGAATCGAGTTCCAGGCTTGAGTAGGATTTGTATCTATGTAGGTATAAAATTTTGTAAGTGTAGGGAAACGGGGTGAATAATTCGAAGGGTGGATACAGACGGTAGGAGGGTGAATGGATATTAAGATTTTTTCAAAATTATAATCTATTTACTTAATTCCCGTATCATCTATTCACCCCATTTTACCGTTACCTATCTGTGACTGAGAGCTCGTAACACGGGCAAAACTCTAAACTACAATAAACCTTTCATAAAAATGTCAATTTCAATGAAATTGACTGCATGCATGGTGCGGCTGGGCAACCTTGCCGTGCAACGTGTCGCGGGTTCGATTCCCGCACGGAACAACACTTTGTGTGATCCACAAATTGTTGTTTCGGGTCTGGGTGTCATGTGTATGTGAACTTGTATGTTTGTAAACGCACCCACGACACAGGAGATAATCCTAGAGTGGGGCTACGTATTTAAAAAAAAACTGCAATAACATTAACATTTTCCCAGCCAATCAACATCATAATTTCTTTCTCAATCCTTGTTATCATTTCAAAGTAAAGCAAGTTAAATTATAAGATTGGTCGGCTAAAGAAATGGTTCACAATGCTTCGGTTCGAGGGGACATCAATGGAGTCACAATTGAGGTACAAAGATCAGGATCTGTACAGCTTCCTGCTTGCCGTCTACTGTTAAATAAGGATAAAGATCTTTGAAGCGACTAGAAAGTGTGGAGAAGGCATTTTGGCTTTTGTGTGATGAAGTTATATTGTAGATTACGTTGTTAGTATTTTGTAGAGTATTTTAGTAATATTTGGAACAAAGAATGGATAAGGTAAACATCGAATTTCACTCTTGTAAATCTTTGAATAGATAGTACCTACCTATATTTTTCATGGTTGTATCTATTGTAGATCATGGCTTACAGGATTTGCAGCGGTTTTGGGAGGTTGTGGCGGACTTGTCCCAAAAAGAAACAAAGAGAAACAAACCTATAATATTTGTGACATAGTGGAGACAAAATTAAATAATGTATAGATTTGCACATAATAATGGGCCGAGGATATTAAAACTGAGCGATTCGAAATTAAAAATTGATACTATACTACCAAAAATTTTGGGAAAATCAATACAATCATAATGAATATAGACTACTAGTTGAGCCCGCGACTTCGTCCGCGTGGAGTAGTGATTCACAGCTCCTCCCCCGTAGTTGATAGCATGATAATATAATATGTAGCCTATATTTTGACCCGACCTGTTAGTAATATTCATGCAAAATTTGAAGTAAATCCATGCAGCACTTTTTGAGTTCATCCCGGACATACAAACAGACAAACAGACAAAAATTCTAAATTCCATATTTTTGGTTTCGGTATCGACGGCAGATCACGCCCCAAGCAGTACGTACGTACGTAGTAGTCGTAGTCGATGTACAGTTTTCGCTTTCCTACGATTTTATTATTCAGATGTATTTGAGATGTTTTATAATTCCCCTTTTCTTATTCTTATTGTTTGTTTTATTTAAGGACTTTTCTGTATTGTTTTATTTTTTTTCTTTTTATAATTATTTGAAATGTATAACGCCTTGGTTTTCTGACTGTAATGTTATACTATTTAATTGAAATAAATAAATAAATGTATCTCATTCACATATTTAGACAAACATGGTCTTGAAATATCAAGCCAATAGGTGTACAATGTCAAAGATATTACAATTAACTAAGAAAGAACAAACATTGGTCACAATTTGTAATACTAGGTCACCAGCCAACAAGACACAGTGTTACGAAATATTAATTGTTCCTTATTAACAGAATATGATACTGCAGTTTTTGTGTTCAAGAATACTTGTTTTTTATGGGATAATCCGGTAAACGAGCAGACGGATCACCTAATGGTAAGCAATCGCCGTCATCCATGGACAACCGGAACACCAGAGGCGTTACAAGAGGGTTACCAGCCTTTTGGGGATTAGGAATTTGAGGATTGTTGGAGATTCAGGGATTGGGGTGATTGGGGAAGGGGGAGGATATTTGGGCCTCCGGTAACCTCACACGAAACACAACGCAAGCGTTGTTTCACGTCGGTGTTCTATGATGCCGTGCCGAAGCCTGGCTCTCCCACACTTATATCATCTTTTTATCTGACCCGCAAGATGGTTGTTACATTTACACGCTCGTAAAATAATTTATTTTTAAAACAATATTATAAATAAATATTATTTTATGTCTATGCAAGTAAGGAAGGCAACATATCTAATTACGTTCTCTAACTGTCTAATTGTAACAACAAAAACCGCCTTCAAAAAACCAAAAACTAATAACAAACAAAAAGTCAAAACTAAAAAGCAAAAAATAACTATTATTAGTACTGATAGGTTGGGTAACCTATCAGTACTAATAATAGTTAGTGGGTGGGTACCCACTGATAGGTAAGAAGTCGGTGCCATAAGTTCCATACAAAATTATTCATTAAAACCTTAATAGGTACCTAATTCACAATTTTGTGGACAGTTATATCATTATGATATGAGCTTATGGCACCGACTTCTAACCTATCAGTGGGTACCCACCCACTAACTATTATTAGTACTGATAGGTTACCCAACCTATCAGTACTAATAATAGTTATTTTTTGCTTTTTAGTTTTGACTTTTTGTTTGTTATTAGTTTTTGGTTTTTTGAAGTCGGTTTTTTAAACGCAGTTTTTATTTTATTATTTTATCATTTTCAGTGTAAAGCTACATATACCCGTTTTGTTACTTATAATCTACATAGATGTAAAGTCCTCATCAATACCAATTAATCAAGCCTAAACACAAGGTAGTTACTGTATACCGTTGAGGAGTTCCCTTAGCAATTACACTTCTTTATCATCAGACCTTTAATGACAGCCCCACTCTATCTAGGTGTAAAGTCCTCATCATTACAAATTAATCAAGCCCAAACACAAGGTAGTTAGTATAAACCGCTGAGGAGTTCCCTCGACTGTCTATCGGTTCCATCATCAGGTCGACTCCAGACCCTTATCAAATTGTAGTGTTTAAAAATCCTAATTGAAAAACATAATAGACGCATCACTCGCCCATATAATTTTCGAAAGTTCCCCACGGTTTCCCTAGGATCCCATCATCAGATCCTGACTTCATGGAAATGGGACCATCTTGGAAGCATACCCTTTCCAACAAAATAAAAATTTTGCAAATCGCTTCACGCATCTCAGAGTTATGCGCGTACATACATACAAAAAAAAAAATAAAAAAAAAAGCAACATACCGGCCGAACGTATAACCTCCTCCTTTTTTTAAAGTCGGTTAAAAATAATGATTTTCGCTGACAATACTGATGTGTCAGTAAGAATGTGAACATTATTAAATTAGGTACATATACATACCTACCACAAATGTCGCGTTGCGTAAGAAAACAACGAATTTCTAGTCAGCATAAATTATTATTTTAAACGTTAAAGAATTTATTACATACCTATACTTACTGTTAATTAAGTAAAACAATAAATCGACAATAATGCTTATTTTTATACATACAAGTCTCAAGTCTGACCATAAAAATGATTTTTTAAAGAAATTTTCGACATTTTTGAATGCCACATCCATTTTGTAACACAAATGAATGTTCCGATCTAATCTCCACAGTACGTGTTGAACACAAATGTGTATTGCTTTTGTGTATTTGATTTATCGACAGTCTGGCGGCCATATTTGAAGTATAATATAATAAATAGAGCCGGCCCCTGTATTTTGGTATACCGGTTTTAATTGTACACTTATGAAAGGTCTGATATTTGTATTCTGGTCTTTGGCAAAAGATTTGCCCCTTAATTTTATACCGAAACTTGGTTAGTATGTGGGTAATGAAATACTTGATGTGTTTTTGTGAACTGTAGAGGTGCGTTACCTGTAAGCTAATAGAGGTTATTTTTAAGACTCATCACGGCCATCTTTATCAAGAGCCCATGATAGTCTGGATCAAAGAAATATTCTTTGCTATCTAACCCGGCAAACCACCTAAAAATGTTTTTCTCACCTTTAAAACATTCCCTGGACTTCCACGAACATTTTAAGACCAAATTTAGCGAAATCGGTTCAGCCGTTCTCGAGTTTTAGCGACACTAACGAACGGAAATTCATTTTTATGTAGCAGATATTCATATTCATATTCATATTCATTTATTTGCGTACCATAAAGTGAATAAGGTGTTACAATAGGCTTAAAGCTAAGTACATTTATGGACCCCGTAAGGGCACAGCAATATTTTCCAAGAAAAATCTTTTTTAAAAGAGATTATCCAAAAATAAACCTAACATAT